CCCGGCACCGCCGCCGTACCTCCCTGCGCTTGGCCTCGTTCTTCCGGTACTTGGTGAAGAGGTGACACAAGATGTTCCCGCAGCAGCAGGCGACGTGCACCAGGGGCCCCTCTTTGCCCAGGCTCAGCCCAGAGGAGACGGCCAGCACTAAGGTGATGGTTTTGATGATCAGCGTCCACTTGCCCAGGTAGCCTCTAATGATGAAACCACTTAAGATAGTTTTGATCTGGAAGTCAAGCACACAAAGCTCTGCAGGCTTTCATTCAAGCCCTGGTCAGAGCTGTTTTACTCCCAGTCCTGCCCTCGGCTTTCCCCTACAGCTTGCAGAGCCCCCCCCCAGCTGCCAGAAGTAGCAGAGTCGGTAAAAATTCCCCTCGGGGCAAAGGCACAAACAGCCACTTGAGCCCTTCCTGCAGGGCCACTGTCCCCGCTGAAGGAAAACCCGAGGCTAGCTTTAGTCGTAGGCAAACGGTGGGCTTTTGTTCGTACCTCCTGCAGCGAAGGCCAAAGCATTTCAGTTTTTACAGGGGCTGCACGGAGACTTAAGTACCAGAACGTGTCTCAGGAAGAGTTCAGAAAAAAATCCCACACATAAAGCCACCATCTAAAGCGCACGAAATTATTATTCCATGTAAAATCTTTGGATGGTGGATCCCTACCCCACCTTAAAAAAAAAAAAAAACCCAGCCCACTCATTCACACTCACCTCTGGGATCCCTGAGCCGCAGGCGTAAGGAGCAAACCCCTTCACAAGTAACACAGCAAGAAGGGAGAACAACAGGGCCCAGACAACGTACATGAAGTAGTTGAGAACGTAGGCGAAGGCCCCCTGAAACGCAGAGTCACCCCCGTTAGATTGTTCCAGCCGGGATCCCACCAAACCTGCGAAACAGCAGGTGATCTCACACGCAGTCACCAGCCAAAACTGAAGCGAGCTACGGTGAGCCCGAGGGTCCAAGGACAGGTTACGTGGGCTGGGTTACGGGGACATGAAGCGATCACATCTCCAAAGACCACGATATAAACCAGCAAACAAGGAGTATGAGCAGCTTGGAACTGGGATAAGTGCTGTCCCAGTCCAGCGGGCTGGGACACTGGACAGAGCCGCCAGAAACACAAGACTTGAGCTCTCCTGGCACTCCTCTAAAACGGCCATGGACAAGATACCCTCCAAGCTGCAAGTCTCAGCCACGTGGCTAAAACGTTTGCGCTTGTAGACGTGTCAGCGTTTTCCTCCCCCCACCCCCTCCGAGGACAACAGACCGAGCTCCCCTGAGTTTACTGACACCCTTGGAGGACCCCAGCGGTGACTGTTAAACCACTGAACCACCTCGAGCACATGCACCCAGCTGGCCAGCGAGGGACAACGCGGGCTGGGGAAACGGGACATTCGGCAGCAAAACCAGTCGTGGGCACACGTCACCTCTGCGCGGCCGAGGATCAGCTGGGACCAGCTCTTCCACTCGGGACACTTGTCTCTGTCCGTAAAGGTTGTGTCGGATTTCCAGCAGCAGTGCTCGTGGTTAAACCAGAAGCCTGCCAAGCACACTCCTTCTTTCAGATCTGTCATCCAGTGGGCAGAAATGTCTATCAGACCCGCCAAGGAACCTAGGATAAAGGAAAAAAACATAAAGAAAAAAAAAGTAATCATCTCCTTACGCAAACTCACGTACCTGACGGCTGCCCTACTGATTTTGGGCTCACCAGCCAACAGATAGAGCAGTGCTGGGTTTCTTGCTACAATTAACTTTTATCCTAGGGAGCGCTGACCGGGCAGGTTTGCTCAAGCACACACACTGGAAAGAGCAGGCCGGGAGCCGAAGCACGCCCAGCGCTGTTTCGACGGCTGACCAGCACCAACTGCCTTCAAACCTACACCACTAGGAATTAGGTCAACGGTTGGACTTGATGACCTCAGAGGTCTCTTCCACCCTAACGACTCCGCGGTGCTCAATGACGCCCAAATAGCGCTAATTAAACAGAGGGCAGCCGGCAGGCCGGGAGGCCGAGGGGGACGCACTGCGTTTCGGGAGGACCCAGACGAAACGCGTCAGCGAGCTCCAGCGCAAGAGCTGGAATCCAGGAGTGGCGGAGACTGTGACAGGAATAAAGTTGAATTTGGAGAAAACATCTCCAATCCCAATTTGAAAAAAAAAAAAAAAAAAAAAAAAAGGAGGGGAAAGTTACAGCTGCGCCAAGTGACACAAAGCAAGAAGAGAGCCACGACAGAAAGTAACTCGGATTTTAAGGGAGGAATCTTCAAGCCATTTCTTATTTTCCTGGTAGGAATAAAAAAAAAAAAAAAAAAAAAAGGAGGGGAAAGTTACAGCTGCGCCAAGTGACACAAAGCAAGAAGAGAGCCACGACAGAAAGTAACTCGGATTTTAAGGGAGGAATCTTCAAGCCATTTCTTATTTTCCTGGTAGGAATAACTGCTACAATCCCCAAAGACAAACGCTGCCATCAGCTCCGTCCTCAGCTCGAGCGCCGCCCCAGCCAGGAGCAGAGACCTCTGCCCCGTACGAGCCAGGGCTCGCACACGCTCCAGAGGCAGCAAATCTTCCAGTTAATGAAAAACTGGCTAGCAGCCTTCCTACGTAAATATTAACAGAAGATTTCATCTCGCTCCTCACGATGAATGCTTAGCTGCTTTCTGTCGGGAAGATGTGTATCCAACTGATTTACTGCTGCTGCCCGGGGTCCAAAGTTTGCTTCTGAAGTCGTTCAAAAGGTCTCAGCCACTCAGTCTCTGAGAGAAGCCCGACTTCCCAAGAAGCACCTCTCACTTTTTTCTTTTAATCTTAGTAGGTTAAAAAAAAAAAAACACAATAAAAAGAGAAGAAAATCTTGCTAGCAGTCCTCGGCATGAACCCCTCCTGTGCCAACGAGCGCTCAGCAAAGACGATGTACAGCACCGCCCCCTCCTCCGACCCTGCATTTCGATCAGCTCCGCTTTGATCAATATATTTTTATTTTCTTTTAATCTCAGAGCTCTGTACCAGCAGCAGATCCAGGACAGCTTCCAGTCTCCGTTTCGTACCCGGGTATTTACACAAACACGACCTCAAAGCATTTTAAAATAACGCTCCGCAAACCGCAGAGCGGCGGCAGAGCCATCGACGTCGGCGCGGCCCCGGCACAGCCCTCGCCCCGGGGACAAACCCTCCCGCTCCAGCGACCGGCCAGGGCTCGCGGGAGGAATCGATGCCGCCGCTGCGGCGCAGAACCAGGAGTCAGTGTGAACCCGAGGTTTGCTCCTACCTGCCAACAACCCGATGAGAAGCATCAGCAGCCAGCCAGAAAAGGCGTCGCTCACGCTGTGCAGCAGGGCCCAGGTGGACTCCTTACTTCGACTCGTGATCTGCAAAAGCGGTGGTCAAAGAGAGAGAAGAATCTGTTCAGACACGGATCCGCTTTGGTGTAGATGCTCCACCAAGTACACGGTGACGTCGCTCGAGGAAGACAGCCCCTGGCGTCCGAAACAACAGCTGTCGGGACATATTCTGCTCCGAGGGGCGAGAGAAACGCGTCAGGCAGGGTCAGCGCCGGTGCAGAGCTGGGCAAGGACAGACCGGGGATACTTCCATTTCCCCCAGCAAAAAAGGAAATAGTCAAGTAACGCTGTGGGGGCTCTTCTCCGTAAAAAAGGACAAAATTCTTCCCATCTTTTGAAGCCGCTGCGTGGCAGGAACAGCAAGTTACCTGTACCTTGATGCCACAGGCCAACCTGAACACTGAAGAAACCATTCAAGCACGTTGCCCCCAGCAATTTATCGATACCGCCTCGTGGGTATCGATACCTGCCAACCGGGAGAGCACCCAGAAGCTGTCACCAGCCTCTCATCACCTCCAGCTACTGCCCTGACGCCCGTAACACAACCGAGACGGCGCTTTGGGCAGAGGAGACTCTGCCAAGCGCTGACACAAGGCGGGTGGCGGATTTGATACCAGCACAGAGGAACGGTCGGGCTGGGAACCAGGCTGTGCTGGTGGCACTGGGAAAGGGGGACTCGGGCCCGTCCAAGAGGGTGAGCTCCTCTGAGGCTCTGGCCCTGCTCTGCCTGTGCCTGGCAGGGACAGCAGAAGCCGGTTGGTCTCGCTGAGCCGGGCAGGGGGACAAAAGGGGGACAGCACAGCCACTGCGTGGCCCCATTACCCCGGCTGCCCCTCCCAAGGGAAACATTCCAGCACGCCACTATTCTTCCCAGACAAAAAGGCACATTGATGCAAACAACTAACGCTCCCTAAACGAGGGCTAAATAAAGCAAGAATCCCTTCTGCCTGAATAAGCGTCGTTTGGTCTTTCCCCTCTGGATTTGTGCCTCTCAAATGCCGCAGATCGCGAGCGGAGCTGCGAGGCAGGGGTTGGGGTGGGTGCCAAAACCCTTTCCTCTCACTGGACCAACCTTACACCTCCTCGGCCAGCAGTAACTTCTGCCGTGACCCGATTTCAGCTTCTTTTGATGAAGACAGAAGGGGTCTTTTTAGACCAGCAGCTCTGCAGACGGGAAGCAATCGTCCTGTTCCACGCCGAGGGGCGTCGTCTTTGTGCACACGCATCTGCACGCGGGGGCGTGGGCACGAGAAGACTTTCAGGTTTGTACTCTTAACCCATAGATGGGAAGTGTTTTTGGGCAGGAGGCAGCGGGGCACAGAGCCCCTTAACTGGGTCTGTACTTGCTCGAGTTTGGGCATTATACGGTACCGTACGTGCCCACACACCGAGCAGGGACCGCGTTCGGTTTGGGCACTCGTGTTATTAAGACACGAGTTGTTTTGTGAGGCTCAGGGGAAAAAAAAAAAAAAAAATAAAGACTATTTTGGCAAGGAATTCGGTAAGTTGAGCTCAGTCATTGCCCTACAGGAGTTCAGCCAGCAAGGGTTTCTCGTCAATCAGCAGTGCGCTGGGGACAGCGGCACTTTATTTACAGCATCCCCTGCCTTCTAAGCAGGTTCCTTTAATTGCAGAGAGCAGTGAAGGAATGGGAATGAATTCTGAAAAGATTGCACTTAGTCTTCTCAAACACGCAGCACAAAAAAGCTCCAACAGAAAGAGCATCGCTCCCGAGTGCAACCGTGTGAGCAGAAAACCAGCCTGTTCATCAATAACCGGGGTCACGGGTGCTGAGGTTCCTCCATCATGAGCCACGCAATAGCCACGTCACTCTTCCAAACATCACATGCAGCTTCCATGCGGGTTTTGCTCTGCTTCAGTCTCGAGCAAGTTTAACAAGGCCTAAGAGGATGCTCTGTCAGGCATTTTACTGCGTCTCAGAAACCCACCAAA